GTAGCACAGGCAATGCTAGGACAGGATTACGGAAACACAAAACCCCTGTGTTGTGATGGTGGGCTTCATAAGCAGAAATCCACATAAATTGTGATATTTACATTCCTTTAAGCCATGAACATGTAAAAACAAACTGCTCATAGCCATCTTAGGAATTCAAAAAGAATTTTGAATGAACGTCGATATTTTGGGTTTTATGTATTTTATATCAAGTGTTGCTTTTTAATAAATTTTTTAAAATATAGAAAGCATTGTTTTAGTTGTCAAGGCACCAGCAGGACATTTTGGGGATCTGAAATGTGATTCTTTTGGAATCTGTATTATCTACTTAACATTTCAGGCTGTATTTAGTATAATAAATAGGTATTTGCCATTGTGACAAAAAAAGAAACTATACATATACGTTTGCTGAAAAATTAAGCACAAATTAATCAACTTACTATATAACTCGTACTTTAAAATCTTAAACCTGTAATTGTATGGTACTAAATATAGTTAAGCTAAACCACTTCTGAGTCAATTCCATAAAAACAGGTTTTACATGATATAATACCAGGAACAAATAAGAGTACATTTAGTAAAATCTGAGCCAAGACAATATTTTAAAAAGAAATTAGTCATTAATTATTTCTGCCATAAATATACCTCTTTGGATATCAGGAAGTCTGAGAAAAGGAAATATATCTTTCATAGAGAAGTTGTAACATGACTATATTTTGCCAAAATACGGACTTTTTTTTGAAAATATAAAGTATTTGCAAAAACATGGATATTTTGAGAGTGTGCAGTATTTTGGGCCAAATTATTAATGCAATTCTTACTATGTCTATAGTATTAGAAACATGAAGGTACAAGATGAAAACTGTTACAGCCTTGAAAATCCTTCAATGTTAGAAACAGAAAGCAAGATATCAAAGCATTAATGAATTCTATGAAATCTAAAATAACTCATAGTTCAAACTGAAGCTTGGCTGTAGGACAGATTCTATTCTCTTGAGCTATCAATTCTAGTTTACCCTAAGAAAGTTAGTTCTAATAAAAAACCAGTATTTAAAATTAGTTTAAAGTAGTCGAGTAGAAATAAGATATTTTATATAAACCAAAACAACCACTGAAATGTATACCTAAACCACTTAAATCTGGAATCTTTAGAAGCTGGCATGTTCTGATACAGAGAGGGGTCTTTTAGTTCATGAATCCATATGCAAATAAAATATTACTCTCGAGTCTACTTCTCTTAGTGCAAAGAGATCTACTGTGCCTGTAAAACAAACACAACAGGCACTAAATTGCACATTTTAATGACTAACAGAACTTCAAATAATGAGTGAAAAGAAGACCCTTAAACTTATCCAGTAGTGGCTGGAAAATAACACACGTTAGCTACTGCAGTAAAGCCACATCAGCTGATTTCATGACGTTCTTCAACTTATGGAGGATTCTGGACTTTGGGCTTCCAAATTTAGAAGGTTCATCTACAGTCTCAATTTTTATCTTATTTTCTATTACTTATTAAGATGTATACTTTCAATGGTCCAGCTAAGGAAATACCGAGGTGGTGCTAATAGGCAAAATGGAGGCTGAAGTATCATTAAGTATCTATTTCTTACATTAATTGGCTTTCACATCACCATATATCTGAGGCTAATATAAAAATGTATCTTCAGTTTACTCTATAATTAAATCTTAGCTAAGCAAACATACAACTTACCTCATACTGACAGTCTGATGACGTGTACATTTTTAATAATGCTACGTGGCTGTCATTTTCTGGTTGAGCAATATGGAGTTTCACAGAAATTTCTGTGGTAGATGGAACCCTGAAAAGATAAGTATCACTTCTCAAATACAAAATCCTGTGAAATAGCCATGGCTAAGTCAATCCCCAGCACAACACAATGAAACAATGTAAGGAAGCTAGATGCCACACACGTTATTATAGATCGACACTTTCCAGTTGTAGCACGGCTGCCTGAATGCTCCTTGTAGGACACAGGAGCTGGGCGAGAGGGTGAAAAGCAGTTCATGTTTGAAGCAAGTAAGGTTTAAATTCTAGATCATTTAAACAAGAATACTGTATTTTATCTTACAATCTTACCTTATGGGCACAATGCTACCTACATAAAGGATACCTACATTTTACTAAGAGGCACTGTAATAATTTCATTAAAATTTTACTACGATTCAAATAAACGAACTAAGTAGAATATGTATTATTCAAAAACACCAAAGTTTAGGGTAAATTCTTTCATATACTTACTGTGCAATGGTTAATGAATCTTCATAAGACCAGGGAATATGAAGTTTATAAATACTAGTAATTTCTTCTGTGAAAACATAGATGAAATATTTATTACCAACTTTATGTTACTAAATGTTATATAAGCTACTATAATACCTGACTATTTACATAACTATCCATTTCATTGAAAATAATCAGTGAGAGTTATACCACATAATGAGAAGTTATGGAGAATTATTTAATAATAATGTTTAATTAGACTTACAAAAAATATATTAGAGCATATGGGAAGTACTAAGAAACTGGAAAAACATTAAACAGCTAAATCTCAGTTACTACTACGATAAGACAGGAAGATATGCAGTATTTTTAAAATGTGGATATTTAAACTGAAATAGATGAAGATGCTTACTGTTAAGAAAAGGTCTATGTTAAATCCATTGGAAATATGAACAGCTTTCTATTATCATGTATTTAATTTTAACTTACTTGAAGTATATGGAAAAATAAGTATTACAGAAAAATTCGAGAAGACCTAATGATTCTTCAAATGACAATATTATTTATCCAGAAATTACACTTACCTTTGACTCCTGAGCACTTGCTTACCACGTTGATTTTAAAAGCCTGGTATATCTAATAGAGTTTGACCACAAAAATTAAAAAAAAGTTTGTAAGTTTAATTAAACAGTAAAGTAAAATCAAATCCTTGTTACTGTCAAGATAATTAGTTACCTGTCCAAAGTTCAGAAGCTCTATATTATAAAACAGGCCGCTTGTATTTAATATCACTTTCCTTGAAGATAATCCTGTTGAATTAAAAGTACTCTATTACTTAGAATACCAAATAAATTTTCTAAAAAGTATAAAAGTATTGACTGCTTAAACAACGTCTAAATAACGACAACATATTTTTAATATTGAAAGTTTATAGGTTCTCGCTTCTGGCATGGATGAGTGAACTCCTAAAATTCTGATCCTCCAATAAATTCTGGACAAAACATAATATTTATAATGACTTTCAATCACATTTGTGTGTGTTAAAAAATCACTACTTATTTCCAATTTCAAAATTCTTGATTTCTTCTTGATCTCTTTTTAAAATTATGTTAATCAACTTAAAAAAAAACACCCACTTGGATACAAATGCCTTTGGATAAGAATATGCAAGTGTTCAGATGCTTCTTTGAAAAGAGAAAACAATAGGATAAGCACCACTGTGTAACAGACAGAGATGGTTTGAAATATTTACCAAGTATATCACTGACATTCTATCAGTTAAAAAATAAATACCATATGATGTAAGATTCTGTCAGGCACATTTTGTACCAGTTCAAACACATAACTATTTTTTCATAATGCTGCATTATCATAAATATTTTGTAAGATCAATAACTGGATTTAAGAAAAAGACTTAAGAAATTTTATCAACATGTAAATAAATTTGCTAAATACAAGGTGTACCATAAATCTGCAATTAATAAATCACTTTTTAAAACACAATGCTAAGTTAGACATTCAACTACAAACCATTTTAATGACTACCTATAGTAACCAATATTTTTAAAATACAGCACTGAATTTAAGGCAACTCAAAATGAACAATGGGAGAAAAACTAGTAAATATGAAATGACCTTTACATTCTACTTAATCTAATTTAAAATACCATTTATTGTGTTCATTTTTCACAAGAAAGATGTCTAACTTCTGGCTATTTTTAAAAAAAATCTAACAGGAGGTAAGAAATAATTTAAAATTTTGCTTTCTACATTGGCAAATAGGAAACTAGAAGTTGAACATTGTACCTAATTAAAAAACTTTTTAAGTCTGACTCACATCCTAAAGATTTTAGATAGAACATCTTCATTATTAAAATGCTGATAGGTCTGTTTAGGAGACTGTTTTAACATAAGTTTAAACACATCAACAAATTAAACACAAGCACTTATTTGTGTTGTAATTTAAAATGAGACATTCACCAATGATCAAATCATAAATTTCCCTGAATATTTTCACTTTTGAAACAGTTAAAGTCTTAATTTATTATTAAATCTGAGATATCAAAAGTATTGGAGGAGGTCAGTTACATAATATCGGCAGAATATTTTTTAGCAATGATAAAAATTTCATTTTTGTCAAATGCTCAATATCACTAATTATCAGAGAAACACAAATCAAAACTACAAAGAGGTATCACCTCATGCCAGTTAGAATGGCCATCATTCAAAAGTCCACAAATGACAAATGCTGGAGAGGCTGTGGAGAAAAGGGAACCCTCCTACACTGCTGGTGGGAATGCAGTTTGGTGCAGCCACTGTGGAAAACAGTATGGAGATTCCTCAAAAGACTAGGAATGGACTTACCATATGACCCAGGAATCCCGCTCCTGGGCATATATCCAGAAGGAACCCTACTTCAAAATGACACCTGCACCCAATGTTCATAGCAGCACTATTTACAATAGCCAAGACATGGAAACAGCCTAAATGTCCATCAACAGATGACTGGATAAAGAAGATGTGGTATATTTATACAATGGAATACTATTCAGCTGTAAGAACCGACAACGTAACACCATTTGCAGCAACATGGATGTTACTGGAGAATGTCATTCTAAGTGAAGTAGGCCAGAAAGAGAAAGAAAAATACCATATGAGATCGCTCATATGTGGAATCTAAAAAAGAAAAAGAAAGAAAGAAAGAATGAAACAAAGAAAGAAAGAAAGGGAAAGAAGGAAAAGGACAAATGAACACAAATACAAAACAGAAACAGACTCACAGACACAGAATACAAACTTGTGGTTGCCAGGAGGCAGGAGAGTAGGAAGGGACAGACTGGGAGTTCGAAATTTGTAGATACTGACAGGCATATGTAGAATAGATAAACAAGATTATACTGTATAGCACAAGGAAATATACACAAGATCTTGTGAGCTCACAGTGAAAAAGAATGCGACAATGAATATATGCATGTTCATGTATAACTGAAAAATTGTGCTCTACACTGGAAACTGACATAACATTGTAAACTGACTATAACTCAATAAAAAAATTTTTTTTAAAATTTCATTTTGTCACCTGGAAAAGTCAAGATCCATTTCTCTTTTAATAGGTTAACTTTAAAATTAATTGTTTAACATATTCCAGAAGCACCTACATCCACTGTGTCTAGGAGCCCAGCATTAATCAGTTCAGCTGAGCATAAATTAAAATAAGGAGAACTGCCCACTAGGCTCTCTTGCAGTTAAAATATTAAGCCCAAATCTTTGCCTCTATGAAGATGGAACTGCATATGGTATGTATAAACATGGAGTCACAACTATAAAAATTTGGGCTAGGGAGGGTAGATCTCTTATTTTACGAGCTTGCTATCTTTAATGAGATAGGAGATTCAGAGTTGTCTTTTCTGTATTGTTCTGTGTATTCTTCTATCAAAAAAAAAAGGTGGTGGATGGATAAAAATCTTAAAGGAAGTTTCCTCTCTCAAGTAACACAGATTCTTTTCATGAACTGAATATTAAAAAAATATAGTAAAAGAATAGGTCATGCCAAAACGGCACAGGAGCCAACCTAAAAGAACTCCCTATGTCCAAAGCTGGAGCAATTTAAGCAAAAAAAAGGAAAAAAGAAAAAAAAGGTAACAAAAGTACTGAATTATAACCCAGTCAAAAAATAAGTATCCATGAGTCCAAACTAACATAAATAAAAACTGAATAAGGGAATAAATGGGGGAGAAGAGACAACTTTCCTTTAGGAAAAGTTCCAATAAATATAGAACACCAGTAATAATTGCTTCAGACTAGACAAATCAATGGATGCTAAAATTAGTGGATTATTTGAAAGAAAAACAGGATACTTACACATTCTCAAAGTATTTTTCTCAAGATATTTATTAATCATAAAAAGGAAAGCAGTAACTTTACAGTGGACAAACCTGGCAGATTCCACCTTAACCAAGTGATTAAGGTTACGACCACCAGTAATTAGACATCATGTATTTTCGGACATGACACACTGAGAAGTACACATTGCTTGATATTCTTGCCCAAAATGTATAACCTCAATATGATCATAAGAAAGCATTAGACAAAGCCAAATACAGGGATATTCTACAAAATAACTGACCAGTACTATTTAAGGATGTCAAAGTCATGAAAGACAAGGAAAGACTGAGGAACTATCAAAGATCAGAGGAGATATGACAACTAAATGCAATACGGAAACCTGGAGAACACTGGTGGAAAAACCAATGAAAACCAAATGAAGCCTGTAGTTTAGTTACCAGTATTGTACCAGTGCTAATTTGTTAGTTTCAACAATCACGTTAAGGTAAATGAGAGATACAAAGGAACTCTATAGTCTTTCTGTGATTTTTCTGTAAGTCTAAAATTATTTCAAAATAAAATTTAAAGGAATATTAGTTACGTGTGCTTTACCACAATAAAAAAAAATTGGGAAAAAGTATTTAGAGAAATCCTAAAACCTTCATATGGCAGATAGCAATTTATATCTCATAATAAACCTCTTATAAAAAGGGTCAATACATAGTATAAGTTCACGTGAACACACACACACTCAACTACCTGCAAATGTATACAATCATAGGTAAGTTCCTTTTAAAGTTCACTTCTCAGAAGATGACTGGTGGCCCAGTATTAAATAAGAATCAAACCACTGAGCCATATCATATGGTTATTCTAAGAACTACACTTGAGATACATAATGTACAAGGCTCTATTTTATTGCAACTAACTGGCAAAATAAATCAGCACTCTAAAATTAAAAGCAATTCTTAAAATTTCCAAAATCAAAATACTTACCAAAGGAAAAAAGATGAGTTACAGGAAGTTGTATGGATCTTGTCTCTTTTTTAAAGAATTCACAATCTACAACAAACTGGAATATAAAATATTGATTTATTAGGAAAAAATAGAGTTAAATTTATAGTAAAAGATCTTCACTTGATGTTTGAGTAGAAAATAAAGATCTATAAGCTCCAGTTTTGGAGAAGGTATTATCTATCACACTCTAACTATGGCTAAACTTTGGTAGCATGAGTTCCTTAAGGAGAGATGTGAAGGTAAGAAAATTTGGTGAACAAGCTTAATTTAATAAATTATTACAGGGTCATTTCTGTAACAAAAGAGGTACAGCAAAGTTTTCTTATAGTTACTTTTAGGTGTTTGTAGAAGAGGGGCCATAAAGGATAGATCAAAGCATTAAGAGCTAAGGTTAACTCGAGATTAATTAGTAATTTAAATAATGTATCTCTGAATATTTTCATAGTCAAAAGGAAATGTAATTTTGTTACCTTTTTTAATCCCATATATATTACTATCTGATTAGACTACAAAAAACTTTTGGAGACATACTGCCATTCATCTACAGATGGCTAATGTTATTCAAATAAGATTATTTCAGGCTAAGCAGTGATTATAGTAAATGTGAAAAAGGTTCACTACGTATAAAGAAAAAGAAATGCTCTCTCAAAAAACGTAAACCTAAAATGTGACATCTGCATCATTATAATTTCTGTAATGACATTTCTTGTCTAATAACATTTCCATAGCAGCATAAGGAACTTTGTTCTCAGCTGTCTGCAAGAAGTTTCATTAAAATCATCTCCATAATGATCTACAGGAGCTGAGGAAGAAATCAGTCTGATGCCTAACTGTAACTAGCAAGTAGTCAGCTGTCTACAGAAAGCAGAAAACCAGTGGGGTCTATCCTACGCTTTTCCATTAACTACGCCTTGGACTGTGGTTAAAGCTGTTACTTTGTTTGCCTCCTGGGTGGAATTCTGAATGTTTTTGAAAGTGAGAAACAGATGAGGGAAAATGCTATTAGAAAGTACATGGACATGAAGGAATGAAAGAAAAAACTTGTTAAGGGACTCCGCTTTTATTTTTCTCTCTTTACTTAGAAGGCAAAGAATACTGTCAGATATTACAAAAAACAGCTGTTATGAGATTAAAGTAATCACATATTGAACAGGATTATGCATTATATTTTTACAAAGTATTTTTTGGGTGAGACATTGCCTGAGACAGGGAAGCAGTTTTAAATCACCTTGAACAGGTATTTAAAATATTACAATTTTTATTACTGCTAGAAAATTTGGCTGTTCCTTTATAGAATAAACCCTTACCTAAGAAAGAAAGAATGCAAGGGTCTGTCTCTGAGACATCCAAGGAAAGTACATTTCTAATGGACTTAACTATTTTGTTTTCTGTCATCAAAAATTGTAGGTAATTTCATATTATATTTGGAAAACTCTACTATCAGTGGACTCAAAAAATTTTTAAACTGCCCATTCAAATATATGTATCTTTCTGATGATGAGTTATTAACAGACATGTAGAAATTATGAAAGGCCTAAATTACCTTGTGAGATTGGGTGTGAAACACTAGAGTCAGCAGTGTTACTTTCCAAAGAGCACTGAGACATATTAAGTATTTATTAGGCTGCTAAGACTGACTATTTGCAAAAGGCTCATTAATTTCTTGGAATAACCAGAGAAGGCCTTTCCAAGCTTGGGAAAGATGTTAAATTCATTCAAAACCAACTTACCTGAAAGAAAAACCCTTAAAGAGAGCTTTTAGTATTGAAGATGCTGAATTACCTCTCACTTGAGCTAAGCAAAACAAAACAATGAATCCATTATAAGGTACTTGTGAGAC